GTGATTTGGCTATTCAGATCTACCAACAACTTGTCCGAGTGTTGGAAAACATTCTGCAACCAATGATTGGTAAGGCAAAGTTGAATTCCTTAAACTTCACACTGTAGCACCAAAATGAAAACTGGGACGGTGGTAATACTGTATTTCTTCCTAACCAGTAGCGTTCTGTTAATAGTTCTTGTAGTATTCTGTTTATAGGTGACAAGGACTACACTGAACAGGTTTGGATTAAAGGAAAAACTGTGTCTGGTTCTTCTGGCAGTGACAGAATAAATTGATATACCTTATTCATACTTGTTGTAAACCATGCATTTACAGGAAGGAGCTATTAGGACAGTGTGACATTTGTTGCCCTGTGTGTTGGGAAATATCCCATGGAAAATCTGGACTTTATTACATGATAACTCAAAATGAATATGGAGAAAAATGGCTGGTTGTTATTATGGACAGCAATCAGCAATGAAATAGCTAGCAGTGATGAAGCTTACATTCAGAGATATTTTTTTTTTTTCATTAAAAGTACTTTTCATTTTTCTTGTCAGACAGTACTGTCACACAAAATTTCATTATGCTTTCCAATCATGCCATTTAGAAGAATGAAACAGCTCTTGGGTTGCTGACTCTGCTGCTCATATGACCATGGGCAGAAAAAAAAAGTATTTTGAAGTATTTTGCTGAGCTAGAGTTAGACCTTCCTTTCAAATACACATGCTGGAATCTTTGTAAAAACCCTGTAAGCTTAGATTTTGCAGAACATAGTGGGGGACAGAGAGTTGCTGGAAGTCATGGCAAAGTGTGGCTACAAGAAAGCCCAGCCTGCTCTTTCTGTGGAAATACTAAGTTTTGCTGTCTTGCACAATATGCTCGCATATAGGAATTTTCAGTCATTATAATAATGTTGTCAATCAAATGCAGTTTCAGGAATGCTGGAGCATGAGACTATCCAAGGTGTCTCAGGGGTGAAACCAACAGGGCTGCGGAAGAGAACATCCAGCATTGCTGACGAAGGAACCTACACTTTGGACTCCATTATTCGTCAGCTGAACTCTTTCCATTCAGTGATGTGTCAGCACGGAATGGATCCAGAGCTGATCAAACAGGTTGTCAAGCAGATGTTCTACATCATTGGGGCTGTAACGCTTAATAATCTTCTCCTGCGCAAGGACATGTGCTCGTGGAGCAAAGGAATGCAGATAAGGTGGGAGAGCTCATTTTGTACTTTTCTTGAATGTGCTGCTGGAAATCTTAGTGAACTCTTGACACTGGTGAACATCATTTTGATGGAATAACAGCTATACTTTGAATATTTATTTTTCCACACACAAACAGTTGCAGATGCTGTTAAACTGATTTTGAGTGGTTCAGTTATAAAGAGCTTGGTTAATTTAGGCCAAATCCTACCTGGCTTTCAAGGAAATGCAGTAGAAGTAAAACAAAAGTATTTAATCATCAAGTAGGAACCAGAACTGTAGGTGAAATGTCAGTAGTTGCTTTCACAACTTTTAGAGAACAATAACAACCATGCCTGCTGCTTTCTTTGTATGCTGGTGGCTCAGTGGATACCTGCTGTGTTCATCCATACTGTAGGTTGCTGCATCCTGCAGTAAAGCCATCTTATTCTGTTCCTGCATTTGGCATCAGTTGTCCAATGCATTCTACTGGCATATGCCAGGAAATTTAGCCAAGGCATTCCAGTCCCTCAAGTAACCTTGACAAACCTCGCTGTTCATTTGCATGGACAAAATCTCATTTGCCTTTCTTCTTATGCTCATCACACTCCCGCAATCAATAAGAGCAGAAACAAATGGGAAAAGCAAGTTAGTGGGACTCTGGCTGTAACTTTGAAATTCAAAATTTCCTGACTTAATCAGAATGAAACAGTAGGAAGACAAAATTACAAGAAATGACAAGTGTGAAGGAAAAACACATAAGGACAAAGAAGAAACACTGGGAAAGAGAAATTGCATGTGGTTTTGAATTAGCCATAATCAAGCATTAATGTCTTGATACTCTTACCTCTTTGTACAGATACAACGTGAGTCAACTGGAAGAATGGCTACGTGATAAAAATTTGATGAATAGTGGCGCTAAAGAAACACTGGAACCCCTCATCCAGGCTGCACAGTTGTTGCAAGTAAAAAAGAAAACGGATGAAGATGCAGAAGCCATTTGTTCGATGTGCAATGCACTGACTACTGCCCAGGTAAGCAAACTCTCATTGTCTGTCCTGCTGTCACTTTTGAGCAGGTCTCTGCTCTGTTGGTGTTTGCTATGTCTGCCTGCACTGCTGTTGCACATGGATCAAAGATTTTTTTACTTTGTTTTGAAGATTTCTTACTTTGTTTAAGCTAAACCAGATTAAATTGGAGGGGTAAAAAAAGGACCAGATCTTTTCTGAGGTCTGATATTCAAGATCGGTTTTAACCAAATGAGAGGAAGCTCAATAGATTGTGCAGCGTGTAGTACTATAGTCTCTTAGTTTGTGAAAATCTTTAGAGAAAACTCTTCACTCTAAGACATCTCTGTACTCCAGGCAGCTCTGCCTAGGACACAGGGAAATTATCTTTTGCATCGGAGTTAGTATCCAGTTAAGTTAATGGACAATTCACACAGAGAGCACTGTTGTCTCAGGGTCTGCAAACAAAAGTGTTAAGTTACTGTACCCATTAGCCTTAGAAAGGCTGAACCAAGTGTATCTCAGTAAACAGCCGAAGACTTCCATTTATGAAATCTTAGATTTTGTACAGATAGTTTGCACTTTTTCTTTTAACCATGCTACATTTGCATAGAGCTGGTACAGGAATAACTGGATCCAAGCATTTTTGATGATTACTGAACATTCCCATCAGGAAAAGGAAGAAATGTGTCCATTTCTTTCACAGTGGTGTTGGTGCTAGTGGTTACATTAATATAGCCATTGTGATGTAGTAATTCACATTGCTGGAAAACCTGTTAGTTTTGTACTGAAAGAAGTAGTTAAATTTCCACATGCTTCTTCTAGTATTTTAACTTCATTAAAAAGCATTTTCGTGGTATTTTTAAAAAGAGAATGGTGTAAACAAAGAGTAGTTTTTATAAGTTTTACATGTTTAACTCATATTATTATTTCAAGTTTTTATGTTGCTGTTTGTTCCTGTAGTGGCTTTAGCTCTGTTTTTAGAGAAACAGCTCACTCTCTTGAAAAATAGTGAACTCGTAACACTCTCTTGAATGGAAGGTACGGGTGGTCATAATTACAGGGTCAAAATTAGGGAGAGAAATACAGCATGTTTCTAAGAGGTGTAGAAACACAATCAGTTACTTATCTGATTTTTCCATAGTTTGGTATTTTCCAAACACTGTAGAATTTTAGAATTTCTACCTCCAAAGAACACATAACGTTAAGCAGGTGATGGAATTATGTATGAATCAATAAAGCAAAAACATAACAAATACTTGTAAAGAATTTTCTTTTTAAAATCGCTAATTTAAAAAGTATATTATTAGTAACCATGGATGCATCTGTCGATTCATCAGTAAAATGAACCTAAGAATGGTTTTTCTTCTTCACAGATTGTAAAAGTTCTGAATTTGTATACTCCAGTTAATGAGTTTGAAGAGAGAGTCTTGGTATCATTTATACGTACAATACAGGTATGGCTATATTTTTTTTTATCAAAAATCATATGACTATTTCTAAGAACCCCCCTGATGACGCAAAATAGCTTGTGTCCTGAAATACATTCAGGAATATGAAGTAAACTAGGCTTTTTAGCTATCGTTTTTAGCTATGTTGAAAAGGTGATGTCAGCCTTACAATTTTAAGCTATCACAATTTACTGCCTCCAGACTTGCATGAAAATGTTAGTTTCCCTGTCAGTATGTGTGAAACTTTTGGAAGGTGAGAGATTTTGGTGCTTATACATCTTTGTGTATGTAAACACACTTGTATGCCAACTTTTCAAGTGGCAACATTTATATATGCAAATTTACTTTTGTCAGACCTGTGTCGGCATGAGAAGTTCCGACTGCTTTGAAAACTGAGGCCTATGTTCATTCCAGAGTTCTTCATTTAGCCCTTCTAGTTTTTTATACATTGATGAAAATGAAATATTTGAAATCTCCAGAGAAAAGCAGCCAGTAGAGCAAAATAAAAGAAAGAAAGATGATCTTTTTGATCTCTTAGAAATTCCACTTACTGAAAAGATGCAGTTACCAGAGAGCAGGCAAATTCTTCCTTTAGCAGGGAATCTAAATATCTTCAGATTGCATTGTAAGGGGAAGATACGCAGAACTGAAAATGACAAAAGTAACTACAGGTTAACAGCACAATTGTTGCAAATGTATCGTGTGAAGTTAGGATAGAGTGTGTGTCTGTACACAGACGTGTATCTATAAGCACAGATGAAATACTACCTCTTTGCAAGATGATTATCATCAATGAAGTGGCTAAATGCTAATGTAATCACTTTTCTTATCTTTGCAGCTGCGTCTGCGAGACAGGAAGGACTCTCCTCAGTTGCTCATGGATGCTAAACACATCTTTCCTGTTACTTTTCCATTTAATCCATCCTCTCTGGCATTAGAAACCATTCAGATCCCAGCCAGCTTGGGCCTGGGCTTCATATCACGTGTCTGATCCCGAGGATGTACTGTCCGTGTTAGATGGAGAATCAGTTGCCTGATATCTTTACCGTTAAAACATAGTGAGCCACTGAAAACACATTTACTGAACAATCTATATATGCCCAGATCTGTAGTAAAAGTAGCTGGAAAACCACATAACAGCACCACAGATTGAAGGCTGATAGAAAGATGTGCATTTGTGTTCAGTCATTTATGAGGACATCACTGATTCATACATTTTCAGAATATGGAAATAAGGCTTGGACAAAAATTGTGTCTTCAGCTGTCTAGAGACATTTTTAGATCTTTAGTAACATATTTAAATAGTGTAAATTAAACTCTGTATGTGATCTTCTCATAGGCAGGGACCAACAGGGACAGTCACAGTCCTGAACATGGAAGACTTGAAAGTAAGGCATTTTGTAGTAGAATACAGAGTCACTTGGGAGCCTGTTACATTTAATTTGTAAAAACTGGAATGGAGAAACACAAACTGGCAATATATAAAATTATTTCTTAAACCACTTCCTTATTTATGTCAGCTTGACATAAATTCTAGTGATAAGTCTTATAGCTCACTATATGCTATAACTTAGGTGTTCATTTGTTAGTACTGTGGTTTACCAAGCATACCAAATTGCTGCTGCATATTGTGTTCTTTTAAATGTATGACAGTACCATACTAAGCACTAAAAATAAGATATTTCATTTTTTGTTGTCAACCTTATTTACAGTCTGATGCAGTCTGTTATTTTATCTGGATTTTTGCAAATGGTATCAAATAACACCTGTAGAGGAAAATGGTAACTAAGCACAAGTAGCACACTGGAAATTACATGTTTAGTTATTTTTAAAAGTAGTTAGCTAAAAATACAGAATCTTGAAGCAGATGATGAGAAGTCAATAATGATTTTAGTATTTATTTAGACTTTGTAGTCTGTCTAATGTTCTTCTTTGTTTGTAGACTCCAGAGACGACTGTGTATTTTGAGTATAATCTCTTTTGTTTTGTTGACACTTTAAATAAAGAAAAAAGTATTCTTTCATACTGGAATTTGAGAGGAAGAACTTTAATAGAAAATTTCTGCGGTAGCCCAAGGCTCTCATTCTTTGGAAGGCTGACTAACAAGAACATTAAGTAGGTTTTGACTATGATGCTGTCATTTCACTATGATTCATGCCGATTTAATGGTTGGAGATGCAGAGTGCATAATGAGAAACTGAGTTATATTGGATATTGCACACCTTACTGGAAAGATTCTCTGTCTCACACATCTTGGATCTGCTATATAGAATTCACATTTCACAATGTGCAACGTAAGTGCAGAAGCCTTGCTTAAGGTTCCAATTCTGAACTTTAAAACAGGTATTTTGTGGTGTATGGCTCAAATATACATGTAAAAAAAAAAAAGCCACACACATTGCTCAATTGCATTGTGCAATATTTTTTATGTATTATAATAATTAGCAACTTAGCATTAACATTAATTTCTTTTAAACATTGAGAAATTATCTACAGGTACACTATTAGACTATTTGGTACTAATCTGTTTGCCTGCAAACTCACAGAAAAAAATTTTGCTGTTAAGCAGGCTGAAACATTTCAGTTATGTTTTACTTGAGAGGTAGACACGCTGTTTGTATGGTTCCTAAAATCGGTAGTAAAGACAACCTAAACTTTTTCAGTATCATTTTAAGATGCTCATGTCGTCTTATTTTCAAATGTGTATGCCCCATATTATGTTTGATGGATCATGCCAGTACTTCCAAGAACCCAATCTTTGCTAAATTATTTAGATTGTTTTCCTGTGCATGGTATACCAAACACTCTTTTTTTCAATTGTTACTTGATTTCTGAAACTACAGCTACTGTTAGGTGGCTCCAAATAAGGTGTAATGTAGTTTTCAGGCTGTTAGGGGTACTGTACTTGTGAGAATGTAACGGGAAAGCCTTCCCATCCAGTAACGAGGTTAGGAAAGAAAATACATGAGAACACGCTGACCTACAAATTTTTTCTCCTATTGAAAAACAAACAATTGGCATTACAGTATGTTCATACTGTAGATCAGGAAACGTATCCACTACTTAAGCATTAGTGTATTAAAAATGTATGCCTAAATGTATTTTTGTTTATATTTTAAGTTTGTTTACCTGTAAAAAGCCTTATTGTATCGTTTCCTTAAAAAAAGTAGTGTTTAGTAATTTATAGGTATTATCCTTAAACTCAGTGGTTTGACTGGTATTACTTTTATATCACATTAAAAGTATATGCTGCTTGACATGTTTTAAAGGAAAATATTTTTAAGTTGGAATAGATGTGTAATTGGTAATTCATCTGACATTTTACATGGCAGTATTTTACATGCACTTTTCAGAAGTAAAATTTTAGTGTCAGTGTATAATATATCTTTCACCTTAGGACGAATATCTCTTTAACGATGGAATATAATGCAGAATTATTTTAAAAACTTTTTTTTCCTTTGAATCATTGTTATGCTCTTTTAATGTGGACATATCTTTTCTATTTTAATTTATTATCTATTGCTATGATAGATTTTATCAGATGCTGGAAAAATACTTGTCAATGACCCCTTAGAATTATATACAGTTATTATAGAGATTTTGCACAATAATTACCTCATTCAGTTTGGTGTGGTTTTATTCCAGTGATCATTTTATTCTGATGTTTAGGACACAGTCTTCTATCCAAATTTTGAAAAATTGCTTCTCAGACTTCAATCTGGGATGGAACGTGAAAGTCCGTAAGTCAGTTAAATGCAATTAGTCTATTCTATCACCAGAAAAAAATAGGATCAACTTCAATGTTGAAAAGTGGATTGATATCCAGTAACATTTGTTCCCAATGTGGCAACACCAGCATTTGCAATTTGAAGGTCTGTGTAATTTGTGATTTGAACTAAACGCATTTCAAATACCGTACAAAAACTATGAGTAAACACTTGTTTTTTTAAGATGCTGATACTTCATGTGATAAATAAAAGCCTTTAAACATAGGTTTTCACTTGATGCCACTGTAGTACATAGATGAAAACCAAAACATTGTCAGAATGACCTGAGCTCTGATCTGTTGTAGTGTCTGATGATGTACTTAGTAAATGTATGCATCATAAAACCTGTAGCCTAATAGCTATCACTGGAAAATATCCAAATAAAAATACAACTGTAAGATTTGCTTTGGGTTTTTTTGTTTGCTCGTTTGGTTGGTTGGTTGTCCATAAGCTGTGTGCTGGCGTAGTCCCCAGAGGATCCCATGGGTTCCCTCCTGCTCCTCCGTGGCAGACTTGGTGCTGACTGCCAAGGGAGTTGGTTAAAAGCTGGGGATTGTATCAAATACCCACCCAGATACCAACAGGCTGCCGTAAACCGCTAGGCGTATTTGAAAATAATTTGTTTGACATAACCCACTTCTCTTAGGTTATTTTGTCACCAAATGGTAACTGTTACTGCAATAAGAATTAAGATTTGTACTTTGCTAAAACGTTGTCTTCTGTGGGGTGGGGGCTGTTGGGCGCCGGCAGGGCTGGCGGGCCTGGGGCACGTACCCGCCACTGCCTCCGTTCACTTCTTCCTCATAAAGGGTATTTAATTGTAATACCTATCAGTGCCCTAAGTTTACTAAATGCATTCTGAGTTGTGTTTACCTTATTCTGTCAGGGAAACTCCTTCATGGTGTCTTATAATTAATTAATGTTTGTTTTCCCTACGCGGCCAGGAATGGCTCCGCTCGTGATCCCTCGGGCAGCTAGGAAATGGAACATCAACAAGGGCTTTTTAAAATTTCCTTTCCTTTGTTTATACATTAACAAATGAACTAATTATAAGATCAAACCATATTAATGGCAAAGTACATTTTTTTTCTACAAACATTCAGCACATGGTGCTGCATACCAGTACACTGGATGTCAAAAAATTACTTGTAGAACAGAACAACGTGCAGGAGAAAAGGGCAAAAGCCATCGGGAGTTGCAGGCCGTAGAAGAAAGCACAGTAACAAACACAGTGCTCCTAAACAACCACTCCTAACTGAGGCTCCTCAGCACCCCTTGTTCCTGGAGCGGAACCAGATGCTGCTCAGCCCTCAAAGCCATTTCAGACCCAAATTGCATTCCTAACGCCTAAAGCCGTCTCCACGATGGCAGCCTCGCCAATGCGGCGATTGGCACTACTCCCCCTCCCCACTATATTTATATACCTCTCGAAATTAGGAGGCAGCGTGCAAGCCGGCCGCATAAGCCGCCCGGCACAGTTAGGAACGCTTCCACCGGCTGCTGCGGGTCCCTGAGGCGAGCAGAGCGGGGAACCGCCTTCCCCCTCCTCCGCGGGGAAGGGCCGTGCCCGGCCGGG